AATGTAGACTAGGATCAATCTATGCCAGGAAACAAGGAAGTATTGGAAGAGTAATAAGACATTTGGAAGGACTCACATGAAGGAGAAATCTATCAGTGCATAGGCAGTCTGGCCAAAGTATGATGATGTTAATGGTTTATAATACATTGAATTTTTAGAAGTAATTGTGTTATATTAAAAAGGATAAATAGCTAAAAAGGATAGACTTCTAGTCTCACTTAGTAATAGAGAAGGGATAATAGAATTGGGGGAAAATACCATTCTACCATTATCAGTGTCATAATTGTCTCACGCAGAGATTATCAAGAGATGATGAAATCATTGAGTAGTGTTGATTAGGAATAACATATATACAGTATCTCAAAGTACATTACACAGATTACTTCATAGATATAGAAAGAAATTTCTTTGTTGATGGGGAATTAGGGCAAATACAACCTTTATTGAGTGATCAAACTATAGTATCATTGATAGTGACACAGACTGGCACCATACACCCCTGATGTGATGTGGCAGGAAAGGTATAATGACAGTGAGTTAAAATCTTGCTGAAATGTAAAGGAACCAGCCAGATAAAGGCAGATACGTTACCTGGATTCTTAAAAAATGTCAGCGTCATGATGACACATCCCTATAAGCCCAGCACCCTGGGAGGCTGAGGCAAGAGGATTGTTAGTTCAAGCTCAGTCTATGTAACTGAATGACTTGGTGGCATGCTATGTCAGCACTTAAAAAGTTGCAAGAGGCTAGGAAAATAACCCAGTCTGGCTTCAATCCTTAGTCTCTTTTACACACACACACACACACACACACACACACACACCAACAAAGACAAAAAGCCAAAGGTGTTAATATATTAAAGGAAATTAAGACATCTTAATATAAGTGACCCATTATAGGATCCTGAGTTCCTCCTCCTCCCCCCCCCCAAAAAAAACCCTAGCTATTAAAATCATTTTGGGTTCTAGCTTAGTGCTAAAATGCTTGCTTGCACGTGTAAATCTAAATTCAATCCCCATTTTAGGGATAAGTAGGGAATTTGGTATGTGGACCATTAAGGAGTTAATGAGTCAATTTAAAATTTCTTGGGTATAATAATACTGTGATTAGGATAGTGTTTTTGTTCTTAGGTGCTACATGCTAGGGAATATGAAGAAATGAAGTGTTTATACCTATGATTTTCTAATGTATCAATTACACCCAAACTCCCAAACAATGTAGAAAAGATGAAATCTTGCAAAAGATTAGTAATTGATGATGGATTTTGATGAAGCATATTTGATATATAGGGTATGCTACTCTTTCAACTTTGCTATAGGCTTAAAATATTTTCTTTTTTTGGGAGTTTTTTTTTCAGTTTTTTTTTTCTTATTTTATAAGAAGTTTATTTTTTTAAAAGAGAATCAATATAGAAAAACAACACTAATAGGAAATGATACCAAATTTCACTACACAAAATGATAGGAATTCATCAGTGGTTGTTATATTGCATATTGTCTTCAAGTTAGTTTTGTTTAGATTACCAGATATAAGTATTCAAAATTGATCAAAAGAGAAAAGAGAGTTAAGCATTAATGGCTTTCAGTAGACCAGCAGAAATCAACAGTACAATTATGGAAGCTATCCTATGTATATACATATGTTATTTCTTTTTCCCTTCCTTTTTTTCTTTTTTCTTTTCTCTCATCCCAGTTGTTCCTTTTGTCCCTTTCACAGTGTCTTAGTTAATTTTTACTTGTTGCTGGGACAAATAAGCAGCACTCAAAATGAAAGAAGGAAAGGTTTATTTAGCTTGCAGTTGTGGAGGTTTCAGTTCATACTCTGCTGGCTCCAAGGCAGTGACAGCAGTTCATGACAGCAGAAAATAATGAAAAACAGAGGAGGAGCAGCAGCTGCGGCATCCTTATTGCTGTGGTAATATGTCTTCAGTTGGGAAAATGCCCAGGAAGGGAGTAGCTAGGTAGAATCTGACCTCTAATCCTAGGTTTTTGAGGAACCTCCACAATGATTTCCATAGTGGTTGTACTAGTCTGTGCTTCCACCAGCAATGTAGAAATAAAAGATAAACTCAAGGTTTTTATAGGTAAGTATATGCAACTAGAGACTATACTCATAAGTGAAATAAATTAGCCCCACATATGTAAACGTCGTACTGTTTCCCTAGTGTAAGAAACTGAAAGAGTAAATAAAATCTGAAAGATTCAATGGATATTATGAAAGGGGAAGAAATTCCCTGCCAGGGAAGGGAAAAAAAATTATACACCCCCCCCACAGATAGCTAAAATAATTGTATTACTAATTTCTATTGGCTCATTGTAAGAAATAGTTAATGCTTTCGAACAATTTTACTTGCTTATATATGGTAATCTAAACAATTGCTTTGAAGGTAACAGTATTCAATATAACAATCTGTTGATTTCCTATCAAAAAAGAAAAAGAAAAAGATTGTTAATATGCTCTTGTATTCTAGTTTCATCTTGGTGGCATTGAGTCTATCACAAGTTGATACTCCTGAGCCTGTTTTTCTAGGCCATTTAACTTTGTATTTGTCAAATATGTTTTCAGTTATTTCTTTAAGGTAATTTTTTAGAATGAGCTTCAGAATAGTTGGTGAGAAAATGTATTTTAATCCATAAATTAGAGATTCAGGAATAGGGAGAAAAAGACTTGCATGTATATTAAATTGGGTATAGTTGAGCTGACAGATTTATGAAGTTAACATTTAAATTTGATTGATCTGATGATTTAAAAATTCTGTATCCTGGGTGTTATTCCAAGTGTAACTTTTTTTTAAATGTAAGGGAAGGAAAAGCACACTGGTTCTTAAAAGAAATGTATCTGTATATGTTTTGCTTTGCAGTGTGAAAATGTGTAGCATTTAAAAAAAATCCATATATATGATAAAGCAATAATACAAAGGTATATCTTTAAAAAAGAATGACTGCTTGCTGAAGTGATTCGTTGATAATTTATAGTCATAAAAATGAAAGATAACAAGAGACTTGCTAGATCTCAGCTGGGTTGTTTCTGGGAAAGTGTATGTTATTATATTTTTGGGGTGACTTGAATTATTTGGTGTTTTCCTGTTGGTGGGAGAAGGGACTACACTTTGAGGAAGTTAAGAGGGGAAGGAAGAAGAGCAGAAAAAAATACCAAATGGCAGTTTAGATCAATCTTACTTTTTCCCAGTATGGCCTTCTCTAAAGTCACATTTAATAGAAACATTAATTAGATTTCAGTGCCCCACTGAGTTTTAAAATTAAACATATTTCTAGAACCATCTGCAACATTTTACCACCAGTAATATTGAAGACTATGCTTAGCCTTTTGAAAAATGGGAATTATAACAGAATGTCTTTTGCTCCTGAATAATCATCTTTTATTATGAAAAACATATCAAGACTTTAAATGGAGTTAAAAAAAAATAGAGTTTTAAGACTATACCTAAAATGAAAATTTTATAAAAATACTCTTCTGGAATAGAATCTTTTCCTACATTCTGGATTTTGGGGGGTTATGTCTTCTTTTAGATCTAAAAATATTGGTGGTGGGTGTATCCCATCTGCCACCATAATGCCTGCCTATTAGATACTGGATTGAAGCCAGTAAGCAGGGAATAGTTGTTTTCATCCAGGAATCATGATTGCCTGTACGAGGGTAGAAGATGGGATGGAAGCCAGAGAAAGAAGATGCGGTGGCTCAGAGTGCAAATCCTGGAGTCAAACTGCCTTGAGCTGGGGCCTTCTTTTACCCTTACGCCTGTTCTTAAGCCTGTTACACCTCTGTTTCCTTCAAGTAGAGATGGCCATCCATCCTTATGGAGCTGAAGAGTACTGTATATGTGTTCCTCAGCACAAGATGTATCTTCAGGACTGTTTTCCTTCTGGTGTGTTCTTCTGTAGTCATTACTTTCTATTCATTCATTTACTATAACCACAAGTCCAAGTATTTAGCAAAAAGCACTCTCCTGAAAACCAAAGAAATAAGGAGCTAGTATGTTCTGTCTCACCTTCACCTCTACCTAGCTTGGCCCAGATCTTAATTTCATGTCATATTCAAGGCCCTTGGCTACTTTTTCAGCCTCATTTCGTGATACTTCCTTTTTCAAAGCCTTTGAGAACTATCATCAGCTCCTAGCACGCTGGTGATCTCAGAAGCATGAGCGTGCACATCTGCCTACCATGTCCTTTTTCATGTTGCATTTCATAAAATCCCTAAAATCTTTCATTCTTCATTTAGAGCGGTGTTCTTGGACACCCCAAGGTGGGGGCTTGGCTGTCCTTCTGTGTGACCTTGCTGTTACCCTACCTGTCTTGTGTCAGAGCATGTGCCGTAGCACTGTCTTTCCATGTTGATTTCTCTGAGTGCCTAGACACTCTGCTTAGGGGAACAGTTATGCCTTTTGTGCAATTTTTTCTCAAGTATAGGGCTAATTATGTACTAGCCATACTGTAAAGAAATTCTCCTTTAAAAAGTTAATTTTCATTTGGGTTTCTTTTCTTTTTCTTTCTTTTTTTGGTACTGGGAATCAAATTCAGGGCCTTGTGTATGCCAGGCAGGCACTGTGCTGCTGAGCTACATCCTCAACCCCTAACTTTCATTTAAAACATGGTAGAAAATGAAAAGTAGAATTTTGAAATTCCTTCTATTCCTTCATAAAGATGTTTCACAGTATTTTAAAATTTCCTTTTTTATGTATAGAATACTCAAAACTTTCAGTGATTAACTTTAAAGTTTTAGAACATAGAAGCCATATGTTTTTGTATCTTTTGACCTAAGTAGAGCATTCCCTAGGATTCTTAAGTTTAATTGTGAAATGCTATTGACCTACTCCAATATTACCTAATATACAAAAGTATGGATATTTGATATCTAATAGTGATACTTAATATAGAATAACTTTTTTTAGTAAATCTTTTTAAGCAACATTCTCTTTAATTTTTTTTTGTAATTTATAAGGAAGCCTCAAATAATAACAGTGAATTTCAATTTTATTTTAGCAAAAGCACCTGGAAATTGAAAGAACTACCAAATGGCTGAAAATGCTAAAAGGTTGGGAAAAATACAAAAATACTGAAAAGGTAATTTAAAATGATGCTGCTTTTATATGAAACTATGTAAATTCAATGTGGATTTTCACAGTAAAATTTTTCTTCAGTCATAAGAACATTGTGCTCATATTCATTTTGAAAAATTAATTTAGCAAAATGCCTTAACCTTGAAAGTCCATATGTGGTAAGTAACAAATACTTCACCTGAATTGGTCTCAGCAATTAAGAGGTCGTATCAAATGGTCCAGAGATAGGATAAGTTTAGGAGTAATTTAATTTAATCCAGCTGCTCAATTATGTTGCCTGTGGCTTAGTTTCTTCCATTTGTTCTGTGTCTTCTGCACTGTCCCTCTTGTGGAGGTGGCAGCCTTTTGGATTCAGAATCATTGCAGCAGTTTCAGGCTTTGTGTTCACACATCACACTGGTAAGAAAGAGAAAAAGGGCTGGTCTCCGATCGCTTTTCTTAAAGCAGGACAATCTCCTTTTCAAGTTTGCTTTTAGCAAACCTCCCTTTAGATCTTTTTTTGCCCATATTGAGTCTGTGTTAAAGTTTTAACACATTTCCACCAGTGCTACATATATGAATGTCCCATGCCACTCAGTGAGTCAGTCATGCACATACCACCGGTGGTTCAAGTTGGCAGGAATGTGTTAAAGCAATTAAAGAAAACCACACACATATTTCTATCAGTGACATCAGAAAAGTCTTTAAATAGAGGAAAGGCCCAAGTTCCCGGTAGCGTCAGTTGAAAGCTCTAAGTTTTGTTTGAAAGGTGAAATGTTATCAGTGACAACAAATGGAATGTCAGTTATTTTTCTTTAAGTGACATTCTGACTTCATTTATTTGGAGAAAACGTCTGTCAAATGCTACCCCAAATCTAAACAATCATGTGGATGTGGTTAGCCAGTTCTTTTAAGTAATAATGGTATTACATGAAAAGCAGAACTTCATTCAGATTGTACTCAGTTTCCTAAGAGCCTGCTCCCTGAGGTGACCATCGTAATTCTGTGTGCAGCAAAAGTCCCATATGTACTCTCCATTTCACCACTCAGCACTGTGATATGCTATATGCTTAGGAGTTGAGATGTAATAAAATTAATGTCTTTCAATGCTTCATCCAGAGCATCATTAAGTGAAACTGACCTTTTTAAGGATTGTGAGTGAAGAACAGAGTGATTTCTTGTTCAATGTTGCCTTGATTTCTGTCAGGCTGCAGTAGTTTTATCATCATTGCTTTTTTGCCACCAGGGCAGAAGCCAGGACACTGAAAATAGAAAGTAGCATTTTAGTCATATTATGAAAATAGTTTTGACCTTGTAGACCATGGCTTGTGAACCACTGACATCTTTTGTCTATAAAATGGAGATAATAATACTCATCAAAGGGATGGAGACTTAATAAGTTAGTGCAGGGAATACACTTGGCATTGTACCTTGCATATAGTAAACGTTAACTACCAATGTTAATTTTTTGAAAGAAGGCTGGATAGTTAAATAAAAATCTTAAAGGAAAAAAAGTCATTTATTGTCCTATAACAAAATACAATTGAGGTAACTGTTAATGAGGTTTTAAACTATTTCCTCACACTTCTTTTCCTATGCTATTTTTTTCCTCCTTTTTTTTAGATATAAAGTATACATATCAGCATTTGCCAACAAGAATTATAGAGAGCATCAGTTTCTTGGGTTTTACTAGGTATAACATGGAAGCATGATAGCCTTGAGGTTAAGAGAAGTCAGAGCCAGACTATCATGGGTTCAAATCACAGCCCTGCCACTTACTAGCTGTATGACTTAGTGAAAGATATTTTACTTTATCTTGCCATGATGTGCTTATGTATGACATGGAAATAATTGCTACCTTGGAGGGTTGGTGAGGATTAAATACTTTAGTAAAGCACATAGATTATTGATTGACAGTGTCTAATCAGTAAGTGTTGCTTATTGTTAGGTAAGAAAAGGGTTCTGATTAAATAGTTGGGAAAATTAGAGCTAAACAAAGATAAACAAGCTTTGTTTACTTCAGCCCTCAATATGAACTTTTAAGTGGGAACTTAAATTATCTGAAACATAGGCAATGATGGAAATCTTCAAATTACAAAACTACAAAGTATATTTTGGTTAGAAGGTATCTCACAGGACTAAGGTCATTTTCCTTTTTTTTTTTTGCGGAACTGGGGATTGAACTCAGGCCCTTGTGCTTGCCTGGGAAGCACTTATTCCACTGAGCCATCTCCCCAGCCCCTGTCATTTTCCTTTTTGAGAATCCTAAATATCCTTATTTTAAGGTCAGATTCTTTTATTTTACTCATTGTGTATTGTTAATTTTCACTATTTTGTTTGAGCATTGGATTTAGAACTCAAGATCTTTTTAAGAGAAATCAGCTCAAAGTGGAAGATGAGGTACAATCCCCTAAGGCCCATGTTCTTGTTTAGTAGAATGCTGCCTCTCAGCTTAGCCTGCAGTTGATAGCTACTTTACCTTCAGTCATTGTGGGAAGACTGCTCAAGTGGTAATTACAGGATAAATTTCCATGCATTGTGCCTATACTTTAACCTCACATTAGTCTAATAAAATATTTGTAGAATTAGGGTTTATTTTCTTCTCTAGTATACATATATCTATGAAATTATGTAAGTCTGTAAAATGAGCAGTTCAAGTAGGCTATTATTCTGACAGCAACTCTGGCTAATGCAGTTCTCATTAAGAAAGATTTTAGCAGAACGATTTCTTTGATGTGTAATTTTAAAGCACTCTTCCATAACTATAATACTAGAATCATTTAGTGATCTATGTAGTTGAATGTGGTATGAAACACAATGAGCCTGCTAAAAAGAATTACTGCTTTCAGTGCATACCTTCCTTTAAATTTTATTGAAGTAAAAAGTAGCATGGAATGTTTCTTTTATCTTTACCAACAGTAGGTATGTTTTCTTACCACAGATTCCTTATTTATAAAATAATAAAACAAATTTTAAGAGTACCTTGAAATAGAAATTTATCTCTATTTGAATTTTTGGAGCTGAAACTTTAGCACGAAAATGTTTCATTAAGGTTGTGTTGCCTGCGAGTTCTCACAGTGTCTGCTTCCTCTTATAGACAGTAGTATTGTATTTTTAAAGTATGCTTGATTAAATTATTTCTGTTGTCAATACCATTATAATTTAATTGGTCATGATATCTTGTGTCTAAGTTCTGACATAGTCTAATACCTGCTATAGATACATACATGTCTTTGTTGGTTTAATGGCTAAGTGGACCTTAGTGTCCATATTAGCCAACATTTTATTTTACTCATTGCAAAACTAAGACCTTTCATTTAAAAATAAATTTGTTAAGGTCACATAGCTTGTTAGCAGCAAGCAAGAAATTCTATATCTGGATGTTGGAGCTCATTTAATTGTTCCATATTTTGTCAAGCCTTTCCTTCTGGTGTTTGTGATAAAGGCCAGAAAGGAATAGAATAGTGTTATAAAATGCAGTAGGACCTTGTAGGTAGTTTAAAACCTTTCAAGGGGGCTGGTGAGATGGCTCAGTGGTCTAAAGCACCTACTTAGAACAAGCTCAGCAAAGCACAGGGACCGCAGTTCAATCCCCCAGCACCACATGCCAGCCAGCCCGCCCCCTGGTGGGCTGAGCTGGCCACACACACACACACACACACACACTCACACACACAAATAAATAAATAAAATTTTAAAAAATAAAATAAAAAATAAAACCTTTCAAGGCCCAGATTTGGGAGACTCATGCTGTTTGAAAGCAGAGACAAATGAGCCAATGGAGCAGGTATAAAGAAAATGGAGAGGCAGGTGTTTCATGGTACATGCTTGCAGTTTTAACAGTGCCCAAAACTAAGCTAGACTTGCTGGGCTGAGAAGTTTACTCATTGACTCATTGGTAGGCAAAATGTTGCACATGCACTGCTGTTTTGAGGTCATGTGAGCTTCAAAAAGGTATTGAAAGTAGTCGCTTTTATTTAAAAGGTATTGAAAGTAGTCACTTTTATTTAAAAGGTATTGAAAGCATTTATAGTTTTAAATGTATCAGCAGGACTGAAGTAGACTAATTTTAGTGGCAAATGAACAAAAATAATGGCAATGAAAGGTTCAGATCAGGCTACCTACCTTTTTCTTTAAGATCTTATGTATTAAATCTATAAAGTTGTGAAATATTTTTAAAGTGATAGTTTTGAAATTGTTGTTAAAATCCAGTATATAGAATTCTACATCATAGTTGTTAAGACTAGGTTCCAAGGGCTGGGGGTGTAGCTCAGCTGCACAGCGCCTGCCTAGCAAGCACACGGCCTAGAGTTCAATTCCTGGTACAAATTTTAAAAGAAAGAAAAAAGAAAGAAAGGACTAGGTTCCAAAATAAGACTAGTGAATTTGAATTCTTAGGATAGTTTACTTCAAGCTACATCTTTGTTTTCTCATTTGTAAAATGGGCATGACGGTAGTAGTATTTACCTCTTTAGAGATGTAGAAATATTACAAGGACTTACAACACATAGTATAATATGAGTTCATCATAGACAATCAGAAAATGTTATTAAATAGACAATAATAGAAATGTTATAAATAGCTTATTGTTATGTTTGATTTATCATTATCCTTGCCACTATTCATATCTTTTCCTGGCACATGTATATATATTCTTCAGTATTCAGTGTGTCATTTTCTCTACAAGAAATCTTTCCCCGCTCTCACAAAGAACTGCTTCCTCCCTTCCTCCATTATCTCTAAGTCTTAGGGTGAGAGCCACTGTGTTGGACAAACAAGTGACACCAGAGCAGATTTATTGTCTCACTTCTGACACTTTCATCCCTGAATTGTTTTGTTTTCCCTTAGAACTATATAGTCATACAAGGGCTAACTACCCCCTATAACATGTGCTGCATATGTGAGCAGGGTGCTGCCTGCCACCCGCCTTTTACCACTCTGGCACACTGGAGAGGAGTCCTCCACCACGACTTTTCTCACCAAGTACAATCCCCAACTTTGCTAGCAATTTATTTGGTTATATTT